AAAAAAAAAAAAAAAAAAAAAAACCCTACCTATGGAAAAGGACTTACTGGAGAGAACAATTAAAACTTATTTATAGTTGTAAGTTTAAATCTGCCACTTTCTTATTTGAAGATCCTTGCCAAGATAGCATTGTGGATCTCCATCTGTGGAGATTTTGATTTAGATCTGGAGTATAGCTCAGATATTTGAATTTTGATAGTTCTGTTGAACATTTCTAATTGAAAACGACTCAGGAAAACTGACAGTTTTGGTAAGGTCAAAACAACCAAAAAAACCTCCCCCCAAACCAAAACCTGCTATAATAATGCAAGGAGTTTTTTGCATCTCTTTTTTAGTTCCTATATGGAGTGGAGTTAACATTGCTGGTGTCCCTCTGAAGGATCTGAATCCAGATATAGGAACTGATAAAGATCCTGAGCAGTGGGAAAATGTCCACAAAAAAGTGGTTTCCAGGTAATATGTTACTTTCATATTTTTGCACTGAAAATTAGTTGTGAGCCTGTTTTATTAGAGGGACATGATTAGTTACTTCAGTATATGTTGTTTTATTTACATACTTTTATTAGTACTTACTTTCTGTGAGCATCTTCACCAGATAATTCAGCAGTTAGGGACTGCTTCTGTCATGCTTATTGCTAAGCCTAAGCAATAAGACTACTACGTGTGTCTAACACGTAGTAGGGACTCCCTTGACTGACAATATATTTATTGAAACATTTGCTGTGTAATTTTTTTTTTTTAAATTTTTTGAGACAGTCTTACTCTGTGCCCTGTGTAGTGATGCTGTGGCATCGTAGCTCATAGCAACTTCAAACTTATGGGGGCAAGCCTCTTGCCTCAGCCTCCCGAGTAGCTGGGACTACTGGTTTGGGCCACCAGGCCTGGCCTAGTTTTTCTGTTTTTTAGAAGAGACAAGGTCTTCCTGTTGCTGGTCTCAAACTCCTGAGCAAAGATGATCTACCCACCTCAGCCTTCTAGAGTGCCAGGATGACAGGCATTAACCAAACTAACTTCTTATGTTCCCAATTCTTACTTTACAGTGGCTATGAGATGCTTAAAATGAAAGGTTATACTTCTTGGGGTGTCAGCCTATCTGTAGCTGATTTAACTGAAAGTATTTTGAAGAATCTTAGGCGAGTGCATCCAGTTTCCACCCTAAGTAAGGTAGGATATTCGTGTTTGAAAATCATTATTTAACTTTAACATAAAATAGTAGGGGGTAAGATACATTTTGGGGGATTCTTTTGAGGTTGATTTTGTAGAAACACCTATCTTCTTAAGTCTGTTTTTTGCTGCTGAAGGTGGGGTGAGAATGGAGGAGAGACCTACTTTGTAGACCTGTGTCCTGGCTTAGTGCGGCAGTTCTTATTACATTTATTAGATACATAATAAGGACATGAGAAAGACTTACTTTTAAGTGAGTTATCTAACTCTACAAATATCTACTAACACTGGGAACCACTGTGGGTAGATCTTGCCACATTGGGAGCTGTTCTCTAACAGTTTCAATTATGTCCAATGAAGAAACCTAAGAAAGAAGCACTCTCTCAAAAGATTAGCAGTTAATCTCCTGGGGATAGTCCCTGTTTGTCTAAAGGGGGAGAGGTTAAAACAAATGGAACTAAATAATTGGAAATAAAATCATAGTCATTTTGAAGTGGTCTTCTGATAGGAAGTGATTTGGGTTAAGGAGATAGGAAGGAGGGTAGGGCCTATGTGGAGAGACGACTGATGAATCTGAACAATAAATATGTCCAATGATGTTTTAAATTGCTTTGTCTTGGTTCTGTTTCTGCCATAAGTCATATTACCAATCCATTAAATATGCATTCACTAGGCAACTGTTGTTTCTCAGACAATAGACCTTTGTTAGAAGAAAGAAAAAGGAGTAATTTTTAAGTCTTTAATTTCAGGGCCTCTATGGAATAAATGAAGAAATATTCCTTAGTGTTCCATGTATCTTGGGAGAGAATGGTATCACAGATCTTATAAAGTTAAAGCTGACCCCTGAAGAGGAGGCCCGTTTGCAAAAGAGTGCAGATACCCTTTGGGAAATTCAGAAGCGGCTCAAGCTTTAAAGTTCTGGAGTTATTAAAGAAGAGCTAGTAGTTATGGAATTATGTATACCATACTTTTGAATAAACTTGAATTTCTGCAAGTTGGAAAAAGGAAAAGGGGAAGAGTTAACTGCCCTATTTAATCCTCCAGCTCTTAGTATCTAGATGGTGGGTGATTTCTTTCCCCCTACAATTTGTAAGTGACTGCATCAGAGGTATTTTTTGGTACCTCTGATATACTAACAAACACTTGCCTTGTATATACTGAATATGTAATTGTTGTTTGGTCCAGAAGAATGTGTTTATTGTGTTAAGAAGTTCTGATTCTTTTAATCAGGTGCATGGCAAATTCTTTCATTCTGGCTGGCTAATACCTAAGTTCATTTATATGCTATTAAAAATAAGTTGTACTTTCCTTTATAATGTAAAAACAAAAATATTTACATATACAAATAATCTGCTAGTTCCTAACACTAAATAAAACCTTGATTTGACTTTGCTAGTTTTTATACTGATAACTTTTATGAGTACCTTTTTTGTTTTAAAAGAAAAGATCTAAACTGTATAACCCACTTGGTGATGACTGAAGTTAAACTGGTCATTTGTGGGCTGCCTAATTTATCTTTAAAACATCTCAAATCAGAATGTTTTCTTTGTGACTTATGGGCCTTCTGGCACTCATTTTGATAGAATATTTCTGTTCTACTGGATGAACTATGTAGAACATACACCAGCTGTGTAGCTCACTGGGTGGTCACATAATTGGCTTACAGAATCACTTGCCATGAAGAATGAACTTTGACAATAAAAAGCAGAGAGGCAATATACACTGTACCCTCCCCTTTAATTGTGACCAACTTACCTAGTTAATGTAAGTTCTCAACTTTTTCCAACTCTCAGGTATATATGGCTCTGTTCATACCACTCTGTTCTTTTTTTTTTTTTTTTTTTTCTTGAGACAGAGCCTCAAGCTGTCCCCCTGGGTAGAGTGCCGTGGCATTACAGCTCACAGCAACCTCCAACTCCTGGGCTCAAGCGAGTCTCCTGCCTCCGCCTCCCAAGTAGCTGGGACCACAGGCGCCCGCCACAAAGCCCGGCTATTTTTTGGTTGCAGCCGTCATTGTTGTTTGGCGGGTCCGGGCTGGGGATTCGAACCCGTCACCTTAGATGTACGTGGCTGGCGCCTTAGCCGATTGAGCTATAGGCGACGAGCCACCACTCTGTTCTTTAATGAAAAGAGTTATGGTTCAATGAGGCCTAGAAAAACAAATCTAGCAGGGGATGGTAAAAGGTCTACCCTGGACATTTCACAGGAAAAGGTCACTCTGACCCCTCAATTTCAAAATTTAGATTTCCATTTGGTATACCCCATATTAAATAGAATTTAGATTATATGCTATGGAAAGACTTATATTTCAATTTAGAAGATATGTATTTGTCAAATGAACAGCTGAGCTTATTAAGGTTTTGTGGATCTTTCCTAAAGAAGTCCAATAAAGAAGAGAACAATTATGCAACAAATTTTATTTAGCATAATCAATCCCAACATTCAGCACAAAAAGTTTACAGAGGATAGAAAGTGCATTAATAAAAGCCAGTCTTTACTAAAAGAAAACAGAAAATATATTATTGATTCAAAATATTTTACACTTGAATGATAAACTGCAATAACTTATTCTGGGCACCTACTAATAAGAGAAAGAAAGAAAAAAAAAAGAAAAAATGTTTTAAGACGAGCTCAATCTCCAGCTGGTATCAGAGAAGTCAGTAGAGGTCACTAAGACCAGCAGTCTTTCTTGCTTTTTGCATTAGGGCCCTCAGCTGGAACTGTTTACGGGACAGAAGACGTACATGCTGGGAGGGGAAAAAGTTTAAAATAGTTTAGAATGGCTTTGATCCAGATGCGAGCATAAAGTACCAAGACAGTTTATAACCTAGGTGGGACCTGAGAACCCTACTTTGTGAAACCTTCCTTTAGAACCAATACCTTAATACACAGGCTTTTTCAACAGGGAAGCATATTGCTGGTTTTGGCTCAGGAGTTTGAGCTACATCTTGAGAAACTTGTCCTATGATACTAACCAACATTACCCAAAAAGTCACTATGATTATTTCTCCCCTCTTCGCTAAAAGAAGGGGAAAAGCAGGGATAAACAGCAAACAGCATACCTCTTTGCCTCTCCATGTGTATCTTTCTTAAGCTATACCACTACCCATACAGAAGGCTATACAGAAAAGGAATCCTCTTTGGGGTCTCGGGTTTATACCCAGCTCTTCACACACAACAGTTCTGAGGCACATAATTTGGCCACGTTCACCCATAGTCAGAGAGGCAAGATCAGCAAATGACTTGATCAGCCTTGTATTACACTGGGGCTCCAGTAGCAGCTGGATCAAGTATCTAAAGGGTAGTTGTTATTATTCCCAAAATCATGGTCTTCACAAACCAACAGAGAGAGCAGTAGCCAAACTTGGCTTACTAGATCTTTTTTTTTTTTTTTTGAGACGGAGCCTCAAGCTATCCCCCTGGGTAGAGTGCCATGGCATCACACTCACAGCAACCTCCAACCCCTGGGCTCAAGCGAGTCTCCTGCCTCAGCCTCCCAAGTAGCTGGGACTACAGGCGCCCGCCACAACGCCTGGCCATTTTTTGGTTGCAGCCATCATTGTTTGGCGGCCCGGGCTGGGGATTCGAACCTGCCACCTTAGGTGTATGTGGCTGGCGCCTTAGCCGCTTGAGCCACAGGCGTGGAGCTGGCTTACTAGATCTTAATGTTTGTAAATAGCATTAAGCCTAAGACAATCTTCATTCAAAAGGGATCTAAAGGGTGCCTTGAAGGGCTATTTGATATAGGAAAACATCTGGTCTAAAATTATGCAACTCTAAAAAAATTAACAGGTTAAAAAATGGGGGCAATCAGTGATCTTTCTTTAGGTAGCATGACCTGAAAGAACCAATAGAAATCTGTGCCTTAATTCAGTCAGGGTCAGTAGTAAGAGAATTACATTTATTAGTGGTAGGTAGTAAATTCCAGCCACTAGCCAGCTTTTCTTCCCCTACTCAGACAGATCCTTAGCAATCTACAGGTGAGAAGACACCGCTTCAGCCACACATCTACTCTCTTTGGGGAAGATAATCTGAAACCCACATTATAGAGAAACCTTGGTTTGTTTCGAGGTCAGAGCCATTGTAACACAAATTTAAAAATACTCTGAAGCAGAATGAGGAAGACATACCTTCAGGAAGACATCCAGGTCTATTACTCCTCGCCTTAAGGCTTCTCCCAGGTAAAAGATAGTGTCTTCAATTGCATTTTCCTCTGCATACAGATTTAAAATCTGTTTGTATAGTGGGGCTGTGGGAATGATAACTTCATCAATATCATTGTTTTCAGATTGATTTTCCATTTTCTCCAGAGCAGAACTGAGTTCTTCATCCTTCTTTTTCAAAAGTTCTATGTTTTTATCAACCTCAGCCTGAAAACAGAACAGTCCAAGCATGATGGCTTTATACAAATTGTTCAAAATTATCCACTTGTCAGATATCTATGACTCCATTTCAAAGGAAAAGATTGGTGAATAAAGTAACGTATAAGCAAGTCATGGATAAGAATGTTTTAAATAACACATTGGTCAAAGACAGAGAAAAAGGTATGTTTTAACATGCTAAGTAAAAATAAGACAACTATAGAAACAGCCTGGGTGAGGTACTTTCAGTGACATATGATTACAAACTAAGCCATCAGATAAAATACTTTCCAGCAGGAGGTTCAGTCACAGTTCACAGAAAATTATAAAGAGATTTTTCTTCCAAACAAGTGGGCATGTGTCATAGAGTGACTTTCCCCCGTGTAGAGGATTCAGGCACAGAGCCCCAAACACTTGCATTCTAGCTATAGTATGTTGTAGGTGGTGGTGGTGGCTATAGGCTCTGAATTATACTGGTGTCACTTTCCTGAACTCCTGAAAATAGATGGCTACTGTGACACTCACTTTACACACTAGAACAATTTTGTAAGGTTGTCAACCTACAAATCACTTTCCACAAACTTGCAAGAACTCTTTACTTTTTAATAAAAAATGTAGATTTGTTGGAATAAATTTTCCCTCATGGGGATGAAAAGTGATGAGTGACGCTGGAGCTTTAATTATGTTGGTACCACCAAGGCACAGCTGCCAGCTATAAATATTAGAAAGCTTAAAGAACTAAATTTGCATATGTTTATACATAGCTCACAAGTCAACCAAATTATATCTGGATTATTAAGTTAGAAGGTTCACTGAAGATACTTTTTTTTTTTTTTTGGGGGGAGACAGAGCCTCAAGCTGTCACCCAGGGTAGAGTGCCATGGCATCCCAGCTCACAGCAGCTCAAACTCCTGAGCTCAAGTGATTCTCCTGCCTCCGCCTCCCAAGTTGCTAGGACTATAGGCGCCTGCCACAACACCCAGGTATTTTTTGATTGCAGCTCTCGTTGTTTGGTGGGCTCAGACTGGATTTGAACCCACCAGCTCAGGTGTATGTGGCTGGCGCCTTAGCCACTTGAGCCATAGGCGCCGAGCCTAACTTTTAAAAATAGCTTACATACTTGGAAACAAAATAGAACTGTCCATTACGTCTGTATCTTAGGTCTACAGATTTTTTTTTTTTTAAAGAGATGGTCTTTCTAGGGTGTTGCCTGTGGCTCAAAAGGGTAGGGAACTGGCCCCATATGCCGGAGGTGGTGGGTTCAAGCCCAGCCCCGGCCAAAAAAAAAAAAAAAAGATATGTTCCTTCTTTAATGCCTAGGCTGGAGTTAGTGGCATGATCATAATAGCTCACTGCAACCACGAAAGCCTGGCCTAAGCCACCCTCCTGCCTCAGCTTCCCAATTAGTTTGGGATTATAAGTATGTAACACCATGGACCCAGATTTCTTTTTTTTTTTCTGAGACAGAGTCTCACTTTGTCACCCTTGGTAGAATGCCATGGCGTCATAGCTCACAGCAACCTCTAACTCTTGGGCTCAAGTGATTCTCTTGC